GTGCCTCGCGGCCGGGGCCCGGGCTTGCTGCCGCTGCTGGCAGGTGAGGGGCGCGGGCCGGGCGGGGCCGGCCGGGCGGAGGCAGGGCCGCAGGCCGGGCCTGGGGACCTCAGAGCCCTTTCCCGCAGCGCTCGCCTGGTTCTCGAGGCCCGCTGCGCAGGAGGAGGAGGAGGAGCAGCCGGGAGCGGGCGGGGCCGCCACCGAGGACGCGGCAGACGAGGCCGAGGCCGAGATCATCCAGCTGCTGAAGCGAGCCAAGGTGAGGCGGTGCAGCTTGGGGAGGGGGACCCGCCGCCGAGCGACCATGGGGCGACGGGAGGAGGGTTAGGTCCTTCCAGGCTCAGTCTGCTCCGTCCCGAAAGCCACAGCGCCGCCGTCCCCAAAGCAGGTGCACACGCACCTCGGCGTCCCTTTTGTCCGGACGACGGCACTGAGAAGGCCCCATAGTTGTGTTTATTAGTGAACCAGACACGCTGAAATGGCATTTTGTACGTGCTAAACCTTACGGCGTCCTGAAAGTGCAGTTTCGTTTTGGTTATGCGGCTTGGTTCTCTTTTTTTTGTAAATTCTTTTTTTCTCGGCCTCATTTATTTGCTCTTCCCCTCTCCTACTTAGGTTATCTCATCTCTTGCATTAAATAATCACCTTAATGCCAGTAACGTCCAAATTTGTATTCGCAGACTGCAGTATGCAGCTGACATGTCCTCTCGCCTGCGAGGCTCCGCCTCTCTCTCTGACTTAACCTAACCCCGAACTAAATTATTGCTCTTAAAATTCTTCCCATTGTTTCACCATCTTCTCTTTGCTTTCTAGCAGATCAGTTCTCAGCCTGGAAAGCACATAGCCTTTTTTTTTTTTTGGAGGGGGGTTCTAGGGTTTGAACTCAGGGTCTCACACTTGCTAGGCAGGTGCTGTCCAACTTGAGTCACTCTGCTAGCCCTTTTTTTGTGATAGCTTTTTTCAACATAGGGTCTCCAGAACTGTTTGCCCTGGGAGGTTTCGAACCATGAACCTCTTGATCTCTGCCTCCTGAGTAACCAGGATTACAAACGTCAGCCACTGGCGGCCTGGCCTCAGAGCCATTTTTAAAACTCAAGCTGTCTCAAAACAGAAGGAAATCAGATCATAAGGCCTCCTTGCCTGAAAACTTTGAATGACTTGACACTGCATTTGTGATAAAATCCAAACTCCTTGCTATGATGCGCAAAACCCTATGTTATCTAAACCAGCCTACCAGGCTCCCCATCATCCCTTCTCATCGCTTTCCTTGATTTCTGCTGAAGGTCTGTTCTCTTAAGCTTTACTCATTCTGGTTGACTCATTCTTATCCTTCCTGCCTCAGTTTTACTGTCACTTCCTTGAAATGCTTCCCAGACTCATTGGAGAAGACCCCTATCATGACATTGTATTTCCTAATAGGTCTTCTCATGAGTTGTAATTAAGCTTACTTGTCCTACCTGGTCACCTCCAGCCTGGGGGAAGAGAATAAAAAGATGGAGGGCAAACAGCTTCCTCATAAAATAGGATGTAAAGATTGCTCACATGCTTTCTGTCTGCATCTGTTTGTGAAAACGTTTTCATATGGTCTCTTCTAGCTCCAAGGGAGGCTGACCTCCCTGTCACCTCTGTGGACACCCTGTAATGCCTGGTGCATAGTAGGCATTCAATAAATGTGTGATGAGTGAATGGCTTCTTTCCGTGTATTGGAATATGCAGCCATATCTACTTCTGTCTGGCAGCATGTGCATATCTTACACTTCATTTAATGTTATTTTGTCTTCTTTTTTTAGTTGAGCATCATGAAAGATGAGCCAGAAGAGGCTGAGCTAATTTTGCATGACGCTCTTCGCCTTGCCTATCAGAGCGATAACAAGAAAGCCATTACTTACACTTACGATTTGGTAACTGATCCATCTGAGCTACTGAGGAGAGGGACGGGTGCTGGGGAAGGGTGATTCTCCTTCCTGATTTATTGTTCAGACCTTCAAGATGCGCTAAGGCTCTTTTTTGTTTTTTGTGGGCTTTTTTTTGTTTTTAACTAAGTTTTCTTTTGACTTTAATTTTTTTGTACTCTTGGCAGAGTCACTTATATTTCAATTCCAGATCAAAATAAAGCAAAAAGCGTAGCATTTCCTGCTTCAGTGGTGAATAGTACTAGATTTGGTCTGCTGTCAACAGATTAAATGAAACAAAATGTTTTTCATATCATTGCTTTGTGAGATTAGCTAGCTGGTGATAAATTATTTTCTAGCAGATTAACTGATGACATATTTTCTCCACTTTGAGCTATTTTTTTTTTTTTTAGAAAGTGAAAACAAAAGGGATTTTTACCTTAAAGGTTTTTAGAGTAGTAGGAATGCAATGCTTCAAACTGATAAACAATTTGTAATTTGCTTTCAGATGGCCAACTTAGCATTTATACGAGGTCAACTTGAAAATGTAAGTAGATCACTTTGTAATATCTTGAATTTGTGAAGAATTAGCCTTAAGAGAACCACATTAAGCAATGGTACAATCTAAGCTGCTGTCTCAAAGAGACCCCAAAATACAGTGGCTCAACCAAGGAGATATATTTCTGTTTAAAGCATAAGTCCATGTAGTCTAAAGACCAAAAGTAGGTTAGGCATTTCTGCTATCTGGTTCAGAAGTCCAGGTTCTTTCTAAAAGATGTCCTCATCTGTGTGTATGAGCTGACTCCCCTCCAGCCTGTACAAAGGGTGAAAGAATGGAGGGCAAGCAGCATCCTTATGAAATATGGTTTAAAAGTTGTTCACAGGTCTTTGAGTGTGGCTCAATTTGTAGTACTTGCCTACCAAACTTGAAGCCCAAGTTCAGCCCCTAGTACACTACAAAAGAAAAAAAAGTTATTCACATTCCTTTTCCCTCAACTCTTGACTAGAACTTTTCATGTGACCACATGTAGCTATAAGGAAGGATGATCTATTAAAAGTTGAGGGGATTTTTGACTGAAGTGATGGGAGAGTGAATATTAGTGGACAGTGTATTCCCACAGTGGTTTGGATGAGAAATGTAATCTCTGAGGTTGGTTTCATCTCATCCCAGGGTAGTTTAAGGTGCCAGAGGTGCAGAGTCCTGATATTTTGATCATTCTTTCTTCACAACACACATGCACACATTCATATTCTCTCTTTCTCTCTGTGTTTCTGAGGAATGATGCATCAGACTGGCACTTAGAATCCAGGGTCATAAGCTCGCTGTAGTGGTACACACCTGTAATTCCAGCATGAGCAGACAGGGACAGGAGGATAGCAAGTTCAAGGCCAGCTTGGGCTACATAGCTAGACCTGTTTCTTGTCTCAGAAAAATAAAACCAACAACAAAAGAATCAATGGTCTTATAGATAGGAGGGCCCAAGTAAAAGAAAAATCTTTTCCTTATGCTTTTAGGCAGAACAGCTTTTTAAAGCAACAATGAGTTATCTGCTTGGAGGAGGCATGAAGCAGGTAAGGATATTGGCTAGTATTGACTCCTCACTGAAGCAGTTTGCAGAATAGGCTTGCTTCCTCAAAACTGCCCCCTTCCCCAGGCTCCAGCATGTGCTTTCACTCAAAAAGGTGAAAGTACCCCTAGACCTATAGAAAAATGGCCAGTATTTCTCTTAATTCAAAATCTTGATTGCTGAAGAATTCACAATTGGCTAATTTCTGTAAAAACAATAAAGACTGTGACTTGAGGCCAAAACCAGTATAGGAGTTGATCTGAAATATTTTATGAAAAAATTTAACTTACTGTGAATTTCCTTCATTTTTTTTTTTCCTCTATCAGGAAGACAATGCAATAATTGAAATCTCCCTGAAGCTGGCCAGTGTCTATGCTGCCCAGAATAGGTAAGTGTAGAACCTAGGTGTTCTACACCTAGGTGTGGCAATGGCCAGGGAGTAGGGCTGTGGGCAGAAAACTCTGCCTTGGGGTATTATACAATCTTCTTTTACCTACAAGTCATCTGGGTTTCCAAATATTGGGTGTCACATTCAAAGTGTCCTACTCCTCATCTTTGCAATTTTTAGGTCTTTCCATTTTTGCCTCTGCTGTTTCCATTAGCTTGCTGAGTGGAGCAAATGGCCCTCTCACCTGTGCTAAAGCAATCAAATCTCTGTTCTTGCTTCCCATGAGCAAAGTTAGAGTTGGATCTTCCTTGAAGCAGAAGCAGTAATGTAAAAGCTGTTAAGGACAGTATGCTTTGATACAGGCATTGGCAAAGGAGTAAATGGTGAGAGTTGCTGTGTTTTTGTTATCCATTCTGGAAAATCAGTGGCTGTTTTTAAGGCCTTAAAAGAGGGTTTGGAATAAGATGCTTTGTTCAAGTGACTTGACCACTATCTTTAGAACATGTGGAGGTGATTAATAGCTAGGTTTCTGGAAGGGGAAATAGCCAGGAGTAGAAGTAGAGGGGGAGATAGTAAGTAAGTCAGGAAATAGATGCTAGTTTAAAAATGGCAGATGAGTCTAAATTCTTTTTTTTTTTTTTGCAGACCTGAGGTTTGAACTCGGGGCTTTGTACTTGCAAAACAGGCACTCTACTGCTTGAGCCATACCTCCAGTCCATTTTTCTCTGGTTATTTTGGATTGGTGTATGTGTGTGGGGGGGGTGCCTCATGAACTGTTTGCCTGGGCTGACCTCAGATCTTGATCCTCCTGATCTCAACCTCTCAAATAGTTAGGATTATAGGCATAAGCCACTGGTGCTCAGCGAGTCTAAATTCTTTTTTTTTTAATTTTAATTTTTATTTATTTTTTCTTTTATTCATATATGCATACAATGTCTAAATTCTATAAAGAAGAAGAAGTGCCAGTTATATGGGAAGGCTTTGAAACAGTTTAGATGTGTGTCAAAGACCAGGAATACTGATGAGTAAGGGCCTTTCATTCTTCTCAGACTCTAGGTAGAGTTCAAAGATGTGTATATAGGATGTAGGCAGGAAACTGCTCTAGAGTTTGAGTGCGAGTTTAGGGAGAGAACTAAAACTAGCTTCCCTGAAAGTTTTTAGTTAGTGCTACAGATTTGGAGACATCAGATAGATGTTACACCAAGGGTGCTATGAGGTTTGAGGCCCTGATACTAGTCCCTGATACCCTAGTAAACAGCTCCTTCATTTTCATAAGGAACTGCCTAGTTTTCCTGCATTTTGATTGGACGCTTGATAGACTAGGACTTTTAGGGCCTTTGACTTCAAGACTGAGGAACTTTGAGCTTGGCTGGTGCCATAGAGCACTGCAGGTGGGGTCAGTCTTCCTTGGAGTGGCTTCATGCAGGACTAGCTGTTGGTTGGGTCTGAATTCCTTGAGTAAGAAGCCCAAAGTAATAAACTAAAATAGGATATTCATTACTAGTTTTGTAGAGGAAAAGCTTTTGTAGTATCCATTACTCATTAGCCTCTGATTTACTCTGGACTTCTCATTTTGTGTTATTAAAAAAGCATGAGATGAGAAAGGACATGGCCAGATCCTGAGGCTTAGGAAGGCTGATGTGAGTTAGGAGGCGGTTTGTAGATCTCTTTCTCTGACTATGGCATTCTGCCCCTTCCCCCATGTCTTACTTAGCCTCTCTCAATGTCAAGGTTTGGATCTGGGGAAGGAAGGGTACATTTTGTTCTGAGGATAATAGTAGAAAAGCAGGGTCATCATATCTCACCTGACAAAGCACTAGAGGAGAAGACATCAGCTTTGTGGTGCCTCTTCCGGTAAGAAAGTAGTGCTAACACCAGAGGAAGAACCAAAGGTGAACTCCTAGATAGAGAAGGAATTTCTGTCCTTTTCATCCATATCGCTCTTTCTTCTTTTTTTTTTTTTTTTGGTGGTATTGAGATTCGAACTCGGGGCCAACACCTTGAGCTACTCCACCAACCCTTTTTTTGAGATAGGGTCTCACAAACTTTTCCTAGGGCTGGCTTCGAACCACAATCCTCCTGATCTCTGCCTTCTGAGTAGTTGGGATTACGAGCGTGAGCCACTGGTGCCTGGCTTACATCTCTTTATAAGAAGGCACCAGAGTCAGTCTGGTTGCTTAGTGTCCTCTCCAGTTGACTGCGAGTCCAGAGCTTACGGAGTCGAGCTAAATGTCTTCCCATGTCCCGTTTCTGTAAAAGAAACTTATCAAAGACATACAGCTTGGGGTAAGTGTTAAGCCACCAAAGTTCCCCAGGAGTGGATGAGGGCAACAGTTGGCATCCTCAATGCAGAAGGGCCTGAATCTCCTTCAGTTCAGGTGAGTGAGTATTACCTGACCAGGTGTGAGGTGTCCTACATGGAAAAATGGACTCACTTGAGGCTGTTAACAAGACCACTGGTATGTCAGTTATGGAAATTTTGGCAACATTCCTAGTTTTTTACATCTTAACTTACCTTAAATAGATGACTGAAGAAAAAAAAAAACCTTCTGAGGACCAGGTATGGTGATGCTTGCCTGTAATGCCAGGTATGTGTGAGGCAGAGATAGGATCATGGTTCAAGGCCAGCACAGGTTAAAATGCTAGTGAGACTATCTCAAAAAATAAACTGGGCATGGTAGCTCATGCCTGTGATGTCACTTACTCAGAGTAGAAGGATAATAGTCTGAGGCAGGCAAAAATGAGAACCTATAAGAAAAACAAGCTAGGCAAAAAGGGCTGGGGGCCATGACTCAAGTTTTATCATGCTTGCCTAGCAAGCATGAGACCCTGAGTTCAGAATCCCAGTACCAGGCCTGGTGCTGGTGGCTCATGCCTATAATCTTAGCTACTCAGGCAGAGATAAGGAGGATTGAGGTTCAAAGCTAGCTCGAGGCAAATAGTTTATAGGACCCTATCTCAAAAAACCCAATACCAAAAAAAAAAAAAAAAACAATGGGGCTGGCAGAGTGGCTCAAGTGAGGGAGCACCTGCCTAGTAAGTGTAGCAAGTGGGAGGTCCTGAGTTCAAGACCCAGTACTGCCAGAACCAAAATATCCAGTACCATAACCGCCCCCCCCCCAAAAAAAATTAAAAGCAACAACCATAAAACACTTTTGAGAAATGGCAGATTAATATCCTGGAGGGACTTTTCAGCCAAACTTCCCTCTTTACTGATAATGCTTAAACCTGAGCTGGAAAGATGGGGGTAAAGGGAGAGTTTGAAAAAAGGTGAACGTAGCTCATTACTGATTTTTGCTTCACAGACAGGAATTTGCCCTTGCTGGCTATGAGTTCTGCATTTCCACTCTAGAGGAAAAAATTGAAAGAGAAGAGGAATTATCAGAAGATATTATGTCAGGTAGGAAACCTCATTCTTCTGGGCATTGCATTTTCTCCACAAAGGGCTTCACCACTATAGATCAAGAAAGAGAATGATAACCATTCTGGAAAATAAGTGGATATATGACATCTCAGTAGAGGTTTTAAATAGGGTGTTTAATGACGTGACTGCTGCTTTTTTTTTTTTTAATCCTCTTTTCCCCTTGGTGACAAGTTCAAAATTTATCTGGTAACTTTCTGTTAAATATAGTCTTAGAAATTGGAGGGCAAACGGCAGGCCTTTCTCTTATTTCTTAGTTCAACTACCAGTCAAAATGCTAAGTAATTACTGGTTCTGGAGATACAGTTCAGTGGTAGAGCACTTGCCTAGTATGTACCAGGTCTTGGGTTCAATTTCTTGCATTGAGAGAGGGAGGGAAGGAGAGAGAGAAAGAGGGGAGGAGAGGGATGGGTCCCTTTTCACTTTAGAAATGCAGCAGGTAAAGGAGGAAGAAAAAGATTCATTTCTGTAGTTTATCCTCATGGAGGCTAGAAACAGAATGTGGTAGGCAGGAAGCTTTCTAACTTAACTACAATTTGGGTTTCTGAATTTGGTTTGAAGTATTTGGAACTTGCACATTTGATATTCAGTAACTCATTTCATACCTGTTCATGCGAAGAGCTTATGAGATGCTAGGGATACTGCAGTCAGCTTTATTATATTAAAGTAAGGCTCCTTAAAAGAGTTGTTTGTATCCCCATCACTTTACTGAAACCATCTTTCTCAAAGTCACCAAATGCAGCAGGCATTTCTCAAGCCCATTTACTCATTAGCAGCTTTGACTCAAGGGATCACTGTTTCCTACAGGAAGTAGTTTTCCTTGGTTTTTGGTCACCTCACTGGTCTTTCCTCTGCCCCTTACTGACTTCCAAATCACAGAAGGTCCAAGGGCAATCTTTGGCCTTCCTCTCTTTTTCCTCTAGCCTCATGCTGGAGGAGGTGTCATGTAGTCCCATATCTTTAACAATTAGATTTACACCATCAACCCCAGCATCTCCTGAATAGCATTTATGGGTATGATTGCTACTTAACATCTTAACTTGAATGTTGAATGGTCATCTCTCACTTAACATGTCTCTTGATTTCTGCCACACAGACTTGTTTCTGTACCAATCAGCCCTAACATTTAACTAGTTGCTTTGGCTAAGAACTTGAGAATTGTCCATGATTTCTTCTTCAGTTCTCCTACCTACTTTCTAAGCAAGATATATTGGAAAAACCATCAAAGTATATCCATATCAGACTATGTCTCATCCCCTTGTCTCCAGTGCTTTCTGTGCTGGACATCTGTAATTTCATAGGTTTTCCTGCTTCCTTCCCTTTACTCCCTCATGTAATCTATTACCTATGCAGTCATCAAAGTGATTCTTTTTTTTAAGACCTCAGTATTTTTGTGACACCTTTAGAATAAATTTAGAATCCCTTTGTAGACCCTATAAGGCCCTTCATGATCTTGCCCTACCTAGCTCTCCTTCATTATCTTCTGCTCTCCACTTGCTCATTCCACTCTTAATATGCTCCTCTTCCTGTTCTTGCACATTCCAAGCTCATGCTCTCTCAAGGCTTTTCACTTGGTGCTCTCTCTCCCTACACTGTTCTCCCACATCCTTCCACGCCCAGCTGCTTCACTTCATTCATGTTCCTGTTTCTTCCTCAAGAGGACCACCTTGACAAAAAGTCATCTCTTCATCTTTGTCTTTACTTTGTCTTATCATCCTTGGAAGTACAGGTGTATGTGTGTTGTGCACCAATAAAAGCACATTTGTATCAGCAGTAAAAGTACATTTGATTGAGATGTCATCTGTTCTGCCCATTACTAAATCCTTAGTACCTAGAGCAGTGCCTGGCACATAATACAATTACTATAATTGTATTAACAATAATTAATTATTAATTTATTAATTTAATAATTAATTTATTATTGAATAAAAGAACAGAAGACCAACAGGTAAATACAGCTTCAGTGCAGTGTGGGAGTCGGTCCTGTGAGGAGACCTTCAGAAGGCGAAAAAAACCTCTTAACCATGGAGCATGTGAAGTATTCACATCCTTGCTGTTTTGCATTTGTAACATTGATACTAGTTTCTTTTTTTCTTTTTTAAAAGGGTTCACATATTTATTACTGAGCCATACTTAAGGTTATCTAAGAAGAATTGTATTTCCAGTTTAAAACACTCAACTGTCTAGTCAGTGTTGACACTCCAGCTTGATACCAAAATAATTGCTGACCACAAAAGAGTTTACATGTGTGTCAGCTCTCACAGTTCCTACAGACCCAGTTTGGTTCTCCTCCAGGGTCTCCTCTTAGGGTTGTAGTTGATTTTGTTACCAGTTTTTATCTGAATCTACCAGGGAATGGGACAATTTTGCTGTTGTTTCTTGGCCAGGAATCACTGGATTCTGAGAAACATGAAAAGCTGAGCCAAACACATGCACCATGACGGTATACAAAAGCAGAAAAGATACTAGTTTCCTAAGAGCATAAGTCTATGTACGAGTTCCAAAAGTTAACAGCAGTTACTATTGAAGAAAATTTCGAAAAGCCTTATAAGAAAGTAAAGATTCTTTACTAATTCTTTATAATTCTACTACTAAGAAAGAGCTGCTGTTTACTTTTTAGTGTGTATCTTTTCAGACTTTCACCCCATGCTATTTTCGTTTTAAAAAATAAGTTAGGGATCATATATAACCTGATTTTCAGTAATGTTGTAAAAATATAATACTATATTTTTCTAGGCAAAGGAATTCTTGTTGGATAGCGCAAGCTAGTTTCTATTTTCTTATTTTTCTAGAGAAGAAATAAATTCCTACTTAATTTTGAACAAAACAAATCAGTTGTCAAATTCATGTGCATTTTTTTTTGGTATAACCACTCCTAAATAGTATAGTCATTAGGATAATTTTCCAAAGTATATCAGTAGGCATAGAACAGAACTCCATGATAAATATCAAAATATAGATGATGATTTTCTCTGGTTTGTCAGTATATAGGGGATCTATATTTTATTTGTATTTTTCTGCATATTCTGTAATTTTCTACTAAAAATTTATATTTTTCTCTTTAAACTTAATTTCTATTATGTATATAGTATAAAAAGTCAATATTACAAGACTTAAAATAGCATGTCCTTTCTACACTTCATCACTCCATCTTTTTTCAATTTCAACCTTCCTGGTATTTACTTTCACTTTTCTAAAAGCATAAAATTGCTGTCTCTTGATTGATTATTTTTAGAAGCTATTGACTTACAGAAGAGTGAGGATTGAGCACAGTTTTTAATGTGTCTGTCTACATTATGAATATGTAAGTAGTGTTACTTGCTGTGCCAAGAACATGTTGGCCTCTCATTGGCATGTCTCTCCTTGGGCATTCTGTTTTCATCTTACTATCGTGTGTTTAGTCACTTACTACTATTTTTTTCTACTTGGCATCTCCACAATTTTTTGCTATCCCTCATTTCCCTTGATTATACTTTGCATTTATTATCCTGATAACTTGATATCTTTTTCATCTCTTAGCTTTGACTATAGTGGTATTTTGGGATGGTGTGAAGATAAATGCATGTGTTCAGTCCAGAATGGTATATATCTACATCATAGTTTGGTCTTCTGTAAGTGGACATCAAGGTAGTGTCTAAATCTGTTTCTTCAGAGTACATTCTTGGGCTGGGATGTAGCTTGGCGGTACAGCGCTTGCCTAGCATGCGTGAGGCCCTGGGTTCAATCCCAGCACCAAAAAAGAAAAGACAAAAAAAAAAAAAAAAAACCTCTCCCCAGAGTACATTCTTAACACTAAACTTCCTGGATCAAAACTAGTACATTTTAGCTGGATGTGAAGGATCATCCCTATAATCCCAGCACTTTGGGAGACTGAGACAGGAGGATCACAAGTTTGAGGCCTGCCTAGGCTGCATTATGAGACCCTATCATTAAAAACAAAACAAAACAAAACAAAACAACACACTTTAAGGTCATTGATGAATGTTGCCAAATTATACTTGAAAAGGCCTATGTTGATTTATGTTTTCTGTTTATTATACTTTGTGACTTGGTCAAATTAGTTAATCTCTGTGTGCTTTTCATCTCTAATCTGAGATTAAGAATAATGTTCTCAGCAGATCTTTAGGAGTTTAGCCATCTTAGTGGTTGCTAAGTGTTAATTATTAGTTTTTATTGTGGTAAGGCTTTGTGTTCCTTCTTCCTGAGGCTCATTGATTTTCATAACCTATATCAGCTTCATGATACAATGATGCATTTTTTTTTTGATAAGCAGTGAGGCTTATAATTTTTTTTTTTTTTTTTGGCGGTACTGGGGTTTGAACTCAGGCCCTTGTGCTTGCTAGGCACGCACTCTGTCACTTGAGTCATTCTGCTAGCCCTTTTTGTGCTGGCTATTTTTGAGATAGGGTGTCTCTTTATGCCCAGGCCAGCTTAGATCACAGTCTTCCTATTTGTGCTTTTCCATGGAGCTGGAGATGGCAGGCTCGCACCACTGTCCCCAGCCATTGACTGAAATGAGCGCTCATGAACTGTTTGCCTGGTCTGGCTTCAAACTGCGATCCTCCTGATCTCTGCCTTTCAAGTTATTGGTTATTTTTTGTAAGGACATTAACCTGTAGGTTTCCTCCCCTTATTTGTAATTATGGAATGGTTAATTGTTTTTTTTTAAACAAAAGCAGAATGTGAAAATAACATTTGTACAGTTTAAAAAATTGTGAGAACAGCAGTGATGCCACATAAGCAGTTCTTAGAAGCCATGTGTGCCTGGTCCTAGTACCATTTTCCTTTCTGAGATGCTGTTCTCTTAAATCTTATCTCCAGCATTCATCTTTCTCTTTAGTTTTTACCTCTGTAACCCTTAAGACAGTATCATTTAGTTTTACATGTTTCTTATTAACACATAAATTACTCACACAATATGTAGGGCTTTTTTTTTTTTTTTAAAATAACTCAGGACCACTCACTTGTGAGCCATACTT